GGTGCTTTGTTTTAGTTTTTTATACAATTTCTTATAACCTAAGAATTTTTTCTTCTTCAGATGATAAATTTTATAAAAACTGTCCAAATGTTCTTTTATTCCAAGCGCTTTCGACTATACATTTAGCCATTTTCAAGGATGAAATATTTTAACTGTTAAATAAGAAATACTTTGTTGCATGTTAATGTATTCATTTTTCAAAACATGGTCAAGATATTGTGTCCATGTTCATAGTTGATATTATTAAGCGCTGTTTTTTTTGCTTTTATTAATAAGGCTTCCATTATTTTTAGCCTTTTTTTGTATTTTTGAGGATGCTATTATATTTGTGTTGTCAACAAGTATGTTACGAATAGTGTCCAATAGGTCTCCATGAATATTTAAATGAGATCTAATTGAGCTATTTTCATCCTTGAAAATGGCTAAATGTATAACTGAAAGTGTTCGGAATAAAAAAACATTCGGACAGTTTTTATGCAATGTATTATCTGAAAGAAGAAAATTATTAGATCACATAAGAAATTGTATAAAAACTAAATAAAAGCAACTTGTCTGTCGTATTCAATGAAATGTGCATGAAAGAAGGATTGCTGCCTAAATACACACACACACACACACATATATATATAACACTTTGCTTTTTCTAGATATCATGGTACATTGTATGGACAATAGGTTAAAACTAAGTGTCCATCATAAATCAACTAATAAAAATTATTTAATAAATTTCTATTCTCACCATAACAAAATAAAATCCAGACTATTGGATTCTATTTAAGAGCACTCAGAATTTGTAGCCCTCAATGATGATGAGAAATAGACTGAAAATACTTTTAAGCTCCTCCAATACCATAATTATTTCTTATTCAATATGAAACAAAAAGCTTATAAAATATTTAAAAATAGAAGAATTGTTGTTCCTGACAAACCCAACTAATCAAAATATTTTATTCTACCCATTCGCTATCACAATTACAACTGAAAAGGATTTAACTTCACTTAACATTAAATTTGTTACAACTACTTCTACAGCAATAAAAGAATTAATAAATACAAAATAAAATAATAATAATAAGCTAAAACTTGAAGGAAGAATTTACTCTATTACCTGTAATGATTGCCCCCAAAGAATACATTGAAGAAACCTTGAAGAGGTTTCTTCAATGTATTCTTTGGGGCAATCATTACAGGTTATATGAACAAAAAAGCGATCTTTTACAAAATGCATTAGTTTCTCACCATATTGAGTCTGACCATAATTTTGATTTTAAAAATGCTCCTCTAATTAAAAGAGAAGGCAATTTACTAAGAAAGTGCTTTCATCACGAGATCATCCACAGTAAATTTACATCTATGTATCATCAATCCATTTACACCCATCCGACATTTCACCTTCCTTCATAGATCTTCTGTTATTGCAATGTCCTATACTTAGGAAACAAAAGCAATAAAAGCAAACAATAAGAAACTAAATAAAATTAGGTAGGCTATATACCCAAAATATTTAAGTTTAAAATTTCTGTATCCCTTCTCCTGAGTGTGTATCTGTAGTTACATCAATGTAAACATCACTTTAATCCAATGAAGTCCTAAAAAATGGTTGGCTACTCTACTTTCTAAGCACACCTGTCTTGTAGGATGGCTAGCCAGTCCCTATTGTGCAAACACCTGCTCAGGCACATTTGTGTTTGTTTAACAGAGCCCACCTGTGGTTTAAACTGAAACTATGCTGAACAGACCTTAGTTACAATTTCTGGGAGCGAGTATATAATGTGGTGTGATCAACATTTTTTTTTTTTTTAACAAGGCTAGCATATCCAGACTCTCATTCACAATGACTTGTAACTTCATGCTAGCACAATTATTGACAGCTTCTGAAAAATTACATCAACCTCTGGTATGGTTTTTAAGCATTTTCCACAGGCCAATAGAATCAAGAACAAATTAAATATAGTGAGATTCAAACCTAGATTTCATGATCGGAAAGCAAACATTTTAACTACATAAATACATATGCACACATATGGTGGAAAATCAACTCTTGTCCGAGTACAACCACTTCCAGGATTTAATTATTGATTGCCTCGTCACTTGCTGCAACTTGTAATGCCAGATAAGTCTACTAGCTGACCTGAACATTTTGTGGCATAGATTGCAAGAGAAATAAGGCTAGAAAAGCGTAGTGCATATATATATATATATAATTATTTATTTAAAAATATGATTCCATCGCTACATAAGAGTTCTCATGTTTCAAAACAAGATCCGAAAGCTTCAATATAATTATTTGAATTAAACTGAATTAAAGTACCAAGCTCTGTTCCATCTTCAAGCGAAATTTTTTTTGAAATAACTAATTCCTGAAATTTATGCGTTTTATAAGCATATTCATTATTAAAATTAAAATTACTATGGTAATGGCTAGAGCAATTATTCTTAAAAAAAGGGGGCATAAGGGTTAATAATTTGTATCAATATCTCAGTTACATTCAAAGAGGTCAAGTCAGGGTAAGGTTGGGGTGTCTAAATTCAAAGTGGAAGAAGATATATATATATATATATATATATATATATATATATATATATATATATATATATATATACATACATACATACATACATGATCACACATACACACACATATATATATATATATATATGATGCACATATATATATATGAAAAATGTGCATGGTTCTGCATAAACCTTCACCACTTTAATCAAATCACTTGTGTGGGTTTTCTGGCAGTTTACCTTGATAATGTCTGATAACAGGATACCCAAGATCCTAATGTACAGCCAGTTAGATCAGGGCTACAGGAATGTAGGATGCCCATGGCTAAGATACAAAGACAAGCTGAAAAGCAACTTGTCAGCAGTCAATACACCACATAACACCCTTGAGCGCTTAGCCTTGGAACGGGTAGAATGGAGATCAACATGTTTTAGTGGACTCAGCAATTTTCAATCTGCTTGACTGAATCATCTTCAAGAAGTGAGAGCAAGATCTAAAAGGTTAGCCAATCTAAAAGTGAACTCATCTCACAATTCTCATACTTGCTCCATATGTGGCCTCACTAGCGGGTCTTAAATGCCACTTAAGATTATTGCACAAAATTTCATAACTGAATCAATAAGCTGTCAGATCCTCATACGTCGAAACCAACGAGAGAGTTCATTATATATGATGCACATATATATATGTAATAGCTGGCCTCTTGAGTGGTTAGAACCTTCGTTTTCTGGCCATGAGACCCAGGTTCAACTCTCACTATGGTAGATTTGTCATGAAGGCAACTTCCTGATGTTATTGGATTAGATCAAGGTCGATCCCAGTGTGCAACACCTTTGAAAAGTGCCTGAGAACCATACGACAAGTTGACCCAAGCCTTGTGAGTGAAACTGGGTAGACAGAACTCTTGGGGGCCATTGATAGCTGTGCTAGCACAAAGCCACAAGTCATCATGGCTGAAGGCGTGAGTGTTTTGGCCTTGTTCAAATTCTTGATCACGCTAGATAACATGCTCTCTCCCAGAAACTGTAACTAAGGTTTGCTCAGCATAGTTGCAGTATAGACCACAAGGCGGCTCTGTGGGTGTTCAGCAAACACAAATGTGCTTGAGCAAGCATTGGCAATAGAGATTTGCTACCTGCTCTAGTAGACAATATAGAGTATATATATATATATATATATATATATATATATATATATATATATATGGGGGGCATGGTGGAGCTTGGATTGAGGAATTAGAGAGCCGAATTCAAATTCATTACATTCACTTATGAACTAATACCCTTGGAAAAGGTATGAATCCATCTCTCTAAATTCAAACCAGCCTGGAAAATCTGGAGAGAGGGACTCAAAGGAAGTTAGTACTATCTGGTATTATCTAGTATCTCCTGTGGTCTGCTCTCTCTCCCCATATGTCACGCACTTATGTGCCCTGCAACTAGAAGAGTAAGAAAGAGAGAGTTGCTATGGCTCAGTGCAAAACACTGCAACCATACCAACCTACACAAGGCATCTAACCATGCTAGGTTGGCTCATCATCAATTCTCAATGAACTTCTTTTACACACACATATATATATATATATATATATATATATATATATATATATATATATATATATATACACACACACACACACACACACATACAAATTTCACATAACTTCTTTCCATGATCTGCAAATTTAAATAAAATTTGATGAATTATCTTCTTTTTGTTTGATATTTTTAGGGAGCTGGTTTTCTTTCAAACAGCCCCAATGCTTAGTAGAATGATGGTTAATTCTGAATAAATAAAATCACCCAATATAATATTATATGGCCTATAAAATACAATACAATCACCCAATATAGTCCTAATATAATGCACATCTGGATATTTTAATAAAAAAAAAAATTAAAATAAAAAATAAAATTAGATAAAAAACTTTTACTTCATATAAAATGAAAATGCTTAAAAATAGCTAATTTATAAACATGATATGCTCAAATGAGATCAACACTCTGAAGAAAGAATTTCTAAGTCTGTTAGAAACAGCACTTCTATAAGAGGACTTTTTACTTTTCCTTAGGCATTTACAAGGAATTTTTATGACAATAACTCCAGAATCAGTTAAGGCTCCTAGGCCAGTAGCCTCAGAATTTATGACGAGGTGTGAAAGAATTTTTTTTAAGATGAGAAATTATTAAAGTCTTGGACGTTCTTTAAGTTGTCTTGTCTTTGTAGCACACTGTCTTTTTTTTTTTTTGTTTGTTTGTTTCATAGTCTTTAATCCTTGATTATTCTGGGTTTTTCAAGCCAAGAAATTTAACGAAAGCCATTCTGAAGAAGACTAGAAACAAAGCGGTGAATCATTACAGTTACGAAAAAAAAATTTAAATAAAGTGAAAAATATCAAAGATGATTTAAAAAAAAAAAAAAAAAAAAAGTGGGGGTGGATTTTAATACATTTATCAATATTTTTTTTTTATTCCTCCATGACAAATTAGCTGTTTGGTTGATTTCGATCTTTTACCACTTTTGATACTGAAGGATAACGCTTCCCATCATTGTCTGCATTGTGATCTCCACCACGAGGCATAATGGTAGCAACTGCGGCAGTGGCCCCACCAGCAAAAGCCCCATTAACACTAGCACTACCATCCATCATTCCAACAACCTCCCCAGATGATGATGGAGGCCAAGGGAAACCTCCTGAGTATCGAGGGTGGTTTGAACTCATTGGCAACTGGATACTGTGACCTAAAGTCACTGACGGACATGGACTGGCACAAGGAGTGGAGCTTCGAGAATTAGTTAGATCATACTGGTCAAGAAGCCGCACAAGCTCAGATGGAGTTGGACCTCCAAGAGAACTACCTGAAAATATGAAAAGAAAAAGGATTTTTAAAATTCTCTGCAGTAGGCATGAAACAGGATTTAAAGTCTTCATGAAATTATTAATGTCTTTCATTAAAGTTTTATAAACTAACTTTTTTTAACACAGGAGATATGGGTCATGAAAAGCATATTATTATTAAGTTTCCTAAAAATAATTATAAAAAATTCAGTATAAAGAACTAACTGTAATTTGTAGGCATTGTATAATGTTTACTTTAAAATATAGTTAATAGAATTTTTCATAAAAAAATGTCTATGTATTACAATTATATATTCATTATTTTATTAAAATATAATGGTACATATAATATTTAATTCCCTGATTTTTTAACTTTAATATTGTCATGCATTATTGCCCATTTAATATAATAAGAATTGTATTTTAGGTTCAAAGTAATATATATAAGAATGATTTGATCACACTAGAGGTCCCTTTAAGATAGTGCTAAAGTATATACAAAAATAATTTTTGTAAAGAAATCCTGAAATTCTTTAAAATTAACCTTTTATTAGATATCTCTCTGACCATTTCAATGTATCTTAAAGTCATATTCACAACTGGATGTAAGCTAATGTAAAATATTTTTAAATAAAAATATTATTGATATAATTTAATATCGCTCTCCATATATATATATATATATATATATGATTTTAATATCTATCACATATGTATAAAGGTAAAAGACAATAGGAAAACTGTATTATTAGCTGACGGGTTTTGTCCAATGTGGACTTTTTCAAGGCAAAACTGGAATTAATTTATTGAAAACAAAGTAACTATTAACAACAAACAAAATGTCTTTGCAACTAGAAGAATTTAGAAAACGTTATTGTATTCATAATTGTCAACTGAAAATTACGTCACATGTAGAAATAGTTTTTTTTGATTCCCAGTTAAAATTAGAGTTACCGCCTTTAATTTTAGAACACCATTTCTAATTGTTATACCCACATCACGCTAAATTAGAACTTATATTTTATATTTTTCATTTCCAACCTTCTTTTCAATCTTAAATGTTGTTCTACGCCAATCTTAAAATTCAAAACCAACATTTTTATGTGTTTACTTGCATATTAAAATGTTCCTATATTAAGTTCTTATTCCATTTTACTTTATTTTTCTTCTTTTTTCTATATTATTTTATTTTTATTATTTTCTTTCCATTAATAAGTACAATTATTATTATTGTTTATTATTATTAATAGTACTTTATTACGCCTTATTTTATCTTATTTTATAGTATATTATTTTATTCTATATTATTTTATTGTATACCAATGTACATTATTTTATTTTATTGTGGCATACTTTGTTACTGATATCATTGGTCTAGTTAGGACAGTATTATAGTTATCAGTAACTCTCTTAATTTTTGAAAAATATAGAGTTGCCCCCCTTGGTTTCCTAATGGCTCGTCTTTTTTTATTTACGTTTCCAAAACCAGCGTCTCCCTAATTTAGAATTTGTATTTCTTATTTCCAACATTATTTTCAATCTTAAAAGTTAATCTAAGCCTATATTCAAATTCAAAATTAAACTAAAACCCTTTTAAATAATTTTAACTCTAATAATATTCCACCCCAACAGTAATATATCTTGTGTGATCCAGGAAAAAAAAAAAGGGGCGTTTACCAAACATATAAAAAAAATAATTATAATTTCATTACTTGAAAATTGCTTCAGCATGAAACTGAACTCCGAATCGTGCAATTAATGTAAGATATTATGTATAATGCTTTTTATATATATATATATATATATATATATATATATATATATATATATATATATATACACACACACACACACACAGGTAATCAATTCATTGGTATATAATCCGGGTTGATCCTAGTAATATCAATTATTAAAACTGATCCAGAGACAGCTCAATGATTTTATTTTAACAGAGCACATGCATTTTTTACAGCAAAAAAAACAAAGATTACCTCAACATAGATATATAGTCTATTTCAAGGCATTAAATTCAAGATAACTTATGCCTCCACCAATTGCAAACACAAACCCACTTTCATTAACATGTTGTCTACAAGAGGACTGACATAGATTATCTCCATGTTGAGGAAATTTTTGTTTTTTTGCTGTAATATGTATATATATATATATATATATATATATATATATAAATAAAAAGAAAGAACAGTAAGATATATAATCTGGTGTTCTTATAGAACTGTGTAAAAAAAAAAACATATTTTAAATCAATTAATTTATAATATATATATATATATATATATATATATATATATATATCTACACACAACATATTTTAATATATATATCTACACACAACATATTTTAATATATATATATATATATATATATATATATATATATATCTACACACAACATATTTTAATATATATATATATATATCTACACACAACATATTTTAATATATATATATATATATATATATATATCTACACACAACATATTTTAATATATATATATATCTACACACAACATATTTTAATATATATATATCTACACACAACATATTTTAATATATATATATATATATCTACACACAACATATTTTATATATATATATATATATATATATATATATATATATATATTATTGTTTAAAAAAAGTTGTATCATGGAAGACACCATCCTTTTCACACTGTCTTATTGTGGGCATGTTTCTCCATGTTTGCTAAAATCTCAATGAGACTGCTAATTCAATTTAAAATATTGTCCCAGTCCATCTATAAACAATACTCACTTTGCCCCGCCTTAGAAGCCATTTCAAGTGCTGTTGTCAAATCCCACATCTGTAATTGAAATCAATAAAAATCTGATTAATAATTATTTGCATACAATTATATTCCAATATTATTTCTTATTATTATAAATGTTATTTTTAGTGGGTACACGTGTTCGAGTTGCTATCCCTGTGTTTTTTTTTCTTAATTTACTTAAGCAGTGAAATTATAATTTTGGCACAATCTTTAAAAGGACTTCTCAATCTAGAACTGTTGTTTTAATTTCACTTATTCAGAAAATAAAAAAAAAGCTCAGCTATAGCAAGTCAAATACATTTACCCCCTAAAAATGTTTATAGTAATAAGAAGTATTATATATAAAATGGAATCAAATATAAATCTAATATGGATTGGAATACAACACACAAACAAATATACATTATCATACAAACTAGAATTATGATACATATACACACATCCAAAACAATAGTGTTTTGGATGAGCTGGTCAAAATTATAAAGAAATATATGAAGTCTGAGTCATCTAATTCAGCCCAGGAATTTGTTGCAGAAGGAAAAAGATATGTCGGCTCTAAGCAAACAATCAAATGTCATGCTATACCCGGAAAAAATCTCCTTAGTTCTGGTGGCATCTGGGAGGTATCTGCAGACCTTCCTGGTTGGCATAATGATTACCCCAAAATAATATCAAGTAATGGTCTGCGACCAGATATTGTTCTTCTGTCAAGGGTGAACCATAAAATCATCCTGGTTGAATTAACAGTACCATATGAATGTCGGATGGAACAAAGCCACGATTATAAAACTAATAAATATGAAAATCTAAAGTCAGAGCTAATAAAGGAGGGGTATAATGCAATTGTTAGAGCAGTGGAAATTGGAGCAAGGGGTTTCGTTTCAGGCACTCTGTACCAATTTCTGGGCCAAATTGGAATCAAAGGGCGTAATAGGGCCAAAAGTATAAAACGCCTAATAGAAGTAACAGAAAATAGTTCTATGTGGATATGGAAAAAACGAAATACTCCGTGGAGTGTTTCAGCGAACATGACGGCATGACATGACTGATCGTGAATGCGTAATGAGGTTCACGTTGCATTCTCAGAATGTGAGGTTTGCCGTTTTTCGAAATTTTTATAAATTTAATTTCACCGTTACACATTTGAACTAGTTTATCTACAACACTTGTATATCATTATAATGGGGCCTCACATCAGTGAGGGGGGGGGCGGTGTGCAACTGAAACCGTTGAGAGGTAGGCCTCGAAATGGTGCACATTCTCTCCTGATGACCCCAGTTTAAATATAAATTTGAGAGGAACACATCAAAATTCAGTGAAGTCATATGCCGTAGAGAAGCTCGGTGGAAGTGTCATTGGCATGAGGAGCATTACACATTCAGCTCACTTCAGGTGAGTTTCAATTACTTTCCAGTAATTTCCTTCTTCACACAAGATCTGCTCAACCAGTGAAAAACAAACAACACAAAAGTTAAAAATATCAGAATTTTTTTTTTTTCTCCATACTTCATTCACTGATAAAGTTTTAATAAAACTAAAAACACGTAAGATTTATAAATGTTTCCAATTTATTCTTTAGCCTATTATCTATGTTTCTTCATATATATATATATATATATATATATATATATATATATATATATATATATATATATATATATATATATATGATGTTATGAACTAGGCTACAATGTGCTAAGTGTGTGTTTGGAAGATAAAACATCTCTATAACACACTAAAATCACACACACACATATATATATATATATATATATATAGTGTATTTAGGCAGCAATCCATCATTTATGCATGTTTCATTAAAAACGACAGACAAGG